CAACATTATTTAATCAATTCATACACAGGGTGAGATGAAAAAACTGCAGCCAACTTCAGACTACTGTCATTTCTAAGCCACTCGTCCGACAGCTGTTAAAATTATTCCACTAAAAGCTCATTATATTTTTTACAAGCGTACAAAAGCATTTTGGTGAAAATTTCCCAGAAAAAAAGTTATTCGGATGGAATTCAAGCGTGATAGTGTTATTTCTTTATATTTGGCTGGAAAACCACAAGTGGCTATCGTTAGAGCACTCCAGCATTTAAATGTGAATAAATATTTTGTGACTCGTACCATCGCTCGTTGCCGTGAGCGTAGTTGCTGGTAGCGTAGCCCGACGTCAAGGAAGTGGACGAAAGAAAACAGCAACATCAGCAGAAATGGTTCGAAAAGTAAAGAAGCGACTTGATCGAAACCCGCGTCGCAGTGGCCGAAAAATGGCTCGTGAGATGAACATATTGCAATATTCCATTCGGCCAATATTGAAAAATGAGCTCGGGGTAAAGCCATTGGAATTCCAAAAAGTACAAGATCTCACACTGCAACAGAAAGAAAATAGACTCAAAAGAGCTAAAGAGTTGCTTTGCTTGGCCGAAAGTGGTGAACTGCCGAATTTGGTTTTCTCCGTTGAGAAAATATTCGTTGTCCAGCAGTTTGTAAACAAACAAAATGATCGTGTTTACTTGCCAAAGAGGTCAGCTGAAAATGTGCACCTTCGGTTGGCCACCAGAACTCAAGCGCCGGCCATGGTGATGGTGTGGTCCGCCATAACAGCCGATGGTCGCTTTCCACTCGTATTAATCGACCGTGGCATCAGAATAAATGACGAATATTATCGCGAAAATATGCTGGAGGGTGTATTAAACCTTGGGCACCCAAACATTTTGGCCGGACATTCCAACAGGACTCAGCACCATCGTATTCAGCACGCGCCACCACGAATGGTTACAAAATGAGGTTCCTCGCTTCATTTCTAGCGCACAATGGTCACCAAAATCTCCGGATACCAATCGGTTGGACTATTGTGTGTGGAGTATTTTGGAAAGCAAGGTTGGCACTGGAAAATAACAAAGTGTCGATCACCTCAAGCAAGCGCTTCGCCGAAAATGGGCCAAAATACCGCAGAGCAACATTCGGGCAGCGTGTGAAGGTTTCATTGGCCGCTTGAAGGCCATAATTCGTGCCAAAGCCGACCGATTCGAACAAATCTAAACTTATTCTAAAATTTGACGCTATTTCCGACATTTTTTGCATTCCTTCAATAAAATTCAAAAAAAAAAAAAAAAAATGTGAAAATTATGGCGTTTAACTTTGTTGCAGTTTTTTTTTATCTCACCCTGTATTTAAATAATCGAACATTGGGTGAGGTCTCTATCTATCCCCAAAACCGACTGATACTTTTTAATATGTTACTCTTTATATATGTAGATATATATTTTTTCCATTGTTCAACTCAAAAATGAATATCATTTGATGACCTTAACCCTTTAGGTACCCCAAAACCAATTCATCACCTATAATTCTTATTATAATTTCCTCAATGTACACAATGCCATAGCTAAAACAGAAAGTTCTCTGCACATGCGCTTCTTGTCCCAAACACCCAAAGTAGAATCTTACTACCAATGGCTTAATTGAATAGTAAAAAATTTAATCTCAAATTAAAAAAAGAAGAAACTTGTTTTATGTCAAACATGTTTATTTTGGTTTGTTTAAATAATCAATAAATTTTACTCATAATTGCCAATATTTTCTTTCGCATTGAGGATATTGAATTCATTGTCTGATTACGATCTTTGCTGAATGTTAATGGCATTTAAATAACTTGTAGGATTTCTTGTGATGCTATACAATTTCTATTAATACATTGCCTTAGAAGAAGATATGGAGGGTATATTCGGCTTGGCATTACGTTTGTATGATGTATAAAATTTCACTTTTAAAAATATCACATACAGTTAGAGATACTTTTAGTAATTAGAGATACTTTTAGTAAAATCGACAGAAATTTGAAAATTGCATATCAGAATTATTTTGATTTGGATATTTATTTTCAAGAGGTCATCGACTAGACAATGATATATTTGGCGAACGGTGGTTCAGAATTCCTGACCAGACCCCCAATTCGTAGTCTCCCAAAAAACAGTAGAGAAAGGCCAAAAATCGGGCGGGCCGACCATATGATTTCCTACACGAGATAAAAAACTGCAACAAAGCCAAACACCATAAATTTTACTTTTTTTAAATTTTATTGAATGGAAGCAAAAATGCCGGAAATAGCATCAAATTTTAGAATTAGTTTAGATTTGTTCGAATTGGGCACCTTTGAAAAGAATTATGGCCTTCAAACGGCGAATGAAACTGTCACACCCTGCCCGAATGTTGCTCTGCGGTATTTTGGCCCATTCCCGGCGAAGCGCTTGCTTGGGGTGATTGACACTTTGGTATTTTTTAGTGCCAACCTTGCTTTCCAAAATACTTCAGACACAATAGTCCAACGGATTGGAATTCGGAGATTTTGATGGCCATTGTGCGCTAGAAATGAAGCGAGGAACCTAATTTTTAACCATTCTTGGGTGGCGCGTGTTGAGTGCGTTGGTGCTGTGTCCTGCTGGAATGTCCAAGGTCTGCGGCCAAAATGTTTACGTGCCCAAGGCTTTAAAACACCCTCCAGAATATTTTCGCGATAATATTCGAAATTTATTCTGATGCCACGGTCTATTTATACGAGCGGAGAGCGACCATCGGCTGTTTTGGCGGCCCGCACCATCACCATGGCCGGCGCTTAAGTTCTGGTGGCCAACTGAAGGTGCACATTTTCACCAGACCTCTTTGGCAAGTAAACACGATCATTTTGTTTGTTTACAAACTGCTGACAATGACAACGAATGTTTTCTCATCGGAGATCGGACAAAACCAAATTCGGCAGTTCACCACTTTCGGCCAAGCGAAGCAACTCTTTTTAGTCTATTTTCTTTCTGTTGCGGTGTAAGTCCTTGCACTTTTTGGAATTTCAATGGCTTTACCCCGAGCTCATTTTTTAATATTTGCCGTATGGATTTTGTGATATGTCCAGCTCACAAGCCATTTTTCGGCTACTGCGACGCGGGTTTCGATCAAGTCGCTTCGTTACTTTGCGACCCATTTCTGCTGATGTTGCTGTTTTCTTCCGTCCACTTCCTTGACGTCGGGCTACGCTACCAGTATCACGGAGACACTAAAGATTTATTTATATTTAAATGCTGGAGTGCTCTAACGATAACCACATGTGGTTTTCCAGCCAAATATAAAGAAATTACACTATCACGTTTGAATTCCATCACGAATAACTTTTTTCTGGAAAATTCGCACCAAAATACTTTTGTACGCTTGTAAACAATATAAAGAGCTGTCACTGGAATAATTTTAACAGCTGTCGGACGAGTGGCTTAGAAATGACAACAGACTGAAGTTGGTTGCAGTTTTTTCAAATTTTTTGAAAATCGATTCAGTGTTGGGTATAGTTCCCAAATTGTGATTAGTCTGAAGCCATGAAACGCATTCAAATAAGGTTCGTAGTTGGTCTGATCTTCTTAACATAAATTCCCAATATAAACGTTTTTTTATTACCGGAGCTCTACTAAATACGCATAGTGAATTCGAATGAAGCATACATGGAGCTATAGCTATAAAGGTGTCATATATTATGCGAACGGATAGAGCTATAAACTTCAAATTTGGTATGAGAATCTTAGTTGGAAAATAAATTTAGGGTAAGCGGATGAAGACTTAGGAATAGTACTATACTTGGTGCAGTGTGCTATTAGATGATAGTGATTGAAATAAGGGTCGTCGTTCATGTGGAGCCTGGACATATGGAGATGGTTTTGGAAATTTGTACTATAATTGTACGAAAAGTTCCAAGTGGTACTAAATTGGATATTGGGTAAAGGGACTGAGTTAAAATCCTGAAATTTGATATTAAGGTCACTGTTGGTATCTGAGTGGTTTTGGAAATTCGTCCATGAACGTAAGAAAAGTGCAAAATGGTTACCAAATAAGCTGTAATCTGATATTTTGGATTCTGTGCGGGTAGATTAAGTGCTGTCAAAAATATTTTATATGTAAGTATATTCCGCATATAACGGTACTTCCAAATTTTAGGGATATAACAATTGTCGATTTTGTTATAAGTCAAGTTTTTATAGTTTGAGGGTTAAAACATTCAGTCCTGTATTTTGAAAAATCCGATTTATTTTTTCCTTTTTAGCTTCATTATTTTTGGCAAATTATTGCGTAAACAAACATCAGCTGAGAGGCATTTATAACCATCTAAGAATGTACCTAAACACTTAAGGTTTAGCCACTAGATTTATTAAACCCAACATTCAATAGTTAAAACTCCTTAATTTTTATAAGAAAAAAAATTAAAATCAATTTGCACAAAAAATAGGTTACCCAAGGTACGAAAAAGACCCATTAGCGTTGCCATCTTTACATTTTTTTTCTCTTTAAATATTTATGATTGGAGGAATGATTTCTTGAGTTAAACACTTTCGGTGAGACCTAACACTCACATAACAGTACTTTTCAATTTTCTGTATTATAAAAGTTTCAGCCACAATTCCCAAATAAATTGGTTGAACATTGTCATTTTGGTGTCCCTTTGGGGTATTTGAATGTTTTAACTAATCTATTCAACATAGTTTGGAATGAGATTGGAGAAAGCTATAAAAACAACCCAATTTTCAAAACATTTCATTAATAAAAAAACGTAAATATTTTTTTATTATTATTTTATTGGGAAATATAAATTGTCTAACTAAGAAAGCTAAAACTTAAGACTAAGAAAACAACAATGGCTGAAATCTTTCCTGCAAAGGGAATAGATATTTTAAATATGGCAAGGAAAACAAACAAGGTAATAGATTAACAAACAATATTGGTAAGAAAAAAAAAAAAAAAAATAAAAAATCATTAAACAAATAAGAGTATTTTTAACAAAATTTGCATGTTTACATTTCGATTGTATACATTATCAGCTAACTGAAAATCTTCAGCTTTGCTTACTGCCAACGCTTTTTGGTTGTGTTGGCAACACTTCCAGCTGTCGCTTGAAAATTGTACGAAACAATAGGTTTATTCGAATTATTGGTTATATTTTTAAAATCCTGATAAAGTTTGGACTCCTTGATGTGCTGGGGCACCGTCGCCGTCAAATGGCTGGGACTTTTAAACGTTGAAGTTGTAATTTTTTGTTTTATTCTTTCGAAAAATGGATCACTGAAGGGATCGTTTTTATTGCCTTGTGGCTTTGCGGTGGTCGCCAATGACTTGCTGTGTTGCCAACTTGCAGTTGTGGTGGATTGCCAATTGTTTGTTTGTGGTTTACGTGTCGTTTTCGTGTTGCCATTTTGCCATGTGGTTTGTTGTTGCTTATTATTAGAAATCGGTGGGTTTGAAGTGGTGGGTTTTCGAGTTGTGGTTGCATTGGCATATTTTGTTGGTTGTTGCCAATTCCATTGATTTGTGGGACGTTTTGTCGTTGTTTTGGAGGATAACGATGATTTAGTAGTTGAAAATGTTTGGTGTTGCCAATTGTAGTTGTTGCCGTTTTGCCAAGATTTTGTTGTGGTTGTGGTGGGTTTCTTTGTGGATGTTGTCGAGGATGATGATTTCCAGGAGGTTGTGGTAGCAGGTCGTTTTGTGGTCGTTGTAGTTTGGGATTGTTTGGAGAATGTTTCTGCTTTCTTTGTAGTCGAGTTTGGTCGTTTTGTGGTAGTTGTAACGGCTTTAATTGCAGCATTTAATTGGGATCCTTTTTTGTCACTGGAATTCCAAGAGTTTGAAATTTTCGACGATTGAGCAGATTCTTTGGATTTATCCCAATTCCAGCCGGTAGTAGTTTTCGTTGTTGTAACTGGCTTGGCAGTTGTGCTATTCCAGATCCAACTGGTTGTGGCTTTCGTAGTTTTCTTTGCCTGGACATTATTCCAGTTCCATGAAGTTGTGGCTTTTGTGGTTGTGTGACCTGGTCGCTTGGTACTTGTGGTCGAAGGTTTTGAAGTTGAACTCTTGTATTGTCCGCTATTCCAATTCCATGATGCTGTTGTTGGTTTTCTCGTAGTGCTTGGTTGTGTGGTCCTTGTGGTACTTGGTTTTTTCGTCGTCTTTGTGGTAGTCCAGGATGTGGTGCTTGGTTTTGTCGTAGATTTCGTAGTATTCCAGGATGTGGTCTTTGCAGTGCTGGGTTTCTTGGTAGTAGTTGTAGTTTTGGAAGATTTTGTCGTTGATACAGCCTTTATTGGTTTCGATGTAGTGCTCGAAGCTTTCCATTGCCCACTGCTCCAATTCCAGGATGTTGAGGATTTTGTTGTAGTCGTAGTGATCGGTTTTTTGGTTGTTGTTGTTTGAGGTTTTCTGGTCGTTGTTGTCAATGGCTTGGTCGTTGGCTTCTTTGTAGTCGTTGTGGCCCAACTCCATGTAGTTGTAGGCTTTGTCGTACGTTGTGTTGTAGGTCGTGTTGTCGTTTTCTGTGTGGACCTTGAAGTTGTTGTAGTTGGTTTACGAGTAGTGGTTGTCTTTTTTGTGGTAGGTCTTGAAGTTGTTGTCGTTGATTTTCGAGTGGTTGTTGTACTTGGAGTTGTAGTTGTAATCAACGGTTTTGTAGTCGTTGGAGTTTTTGCGGTTGTGGTGGTAGGACCTACTGACCCCGTCTTATTTCTAAAGTTATTACTATCCACATATTTGGAGGGCTGTTGGAAGGGCTTTTGCATGGACTGTTCTTTCCGAATTTCTTCACCGAAAGAGTGTGATGTATCAGGTTTGGGTCTGAAGTTATTACTATCCACATATTTAGAAGGCACTTTTTCAGAACTAATCGGCGAAGTTGCCTGTGGTCTTGCTGCTGCTGCCAAGAAAGGATTCTGGCTATAACTTTGTTGTGATGGCTTTGATGTTGAAGACTGAGTTACTTGAGAGGTTTTAATTGCACCACTTAGGAATGGATTGTTTTTATAATTCGTTGCAGTTTCCGTTTCTCCTTTGGAAACATATTGAACTTTCTCAGATGACTGAATTTGTTCAAAGTGTTGTGAGGGGGAGGAAACCTTAATGGCTCCACTCAAGAATGGATTGTGTTTATAATTGTCGGGACTCGGTATAATTGACGGTGAGGAATCTTTCTTGGTATCTTGTTGTGGCTTGTAGGTCTCATGGCTGGTCAAAGGCTTGGGTGCAATGGGTATCTTACTCAAAAACGGATTATGTTTGTAATCACCAGGTTGTTTGGTTCCAACATTTTGTGTGGTAGCTTGGTATTTCGTGACCACCCGAGTTGATTCGTACAATTCAATTTCATTATTACTGAAACACGAACGTATTTCATCCATTTTGCGATTGCGGCAATGTGGCTTGTAAACAGTCCAAGCATTGAAGCCATCTCCCGACAGCTGGGTATGTTCCTCATGTATGATTTTTATGCATCGCACATCATCTGTAATGTCCGAGTCGAGTAGCTTATTACAAGGTATATTACATGCCTTTCCACCATACTGATCGTGGGAGCACCAATAGAGATCACTGATTTGAAAGAGACCATGATCGGCTGAACCATCTGCATTGAGGCGCCCAACGGCGGCGGTGTTGAAACTTGACTCATGTTGAGCAATACAGACCCAGGTGGGAATCTGTTCCATGGGCATTTTGTGTTTGTGGTACAACTCCTGAGCCAGTTCGCACTTTTTATAGATTTTACCTTTTTTGGAAGCTACTGAAGTTTGTGGTATCAGAGCATTGCTGTTGCTGCCAAATGAAGAGCCAGATTTTGTGGGACTCTCCTTCAGTTCTTTTTCGGAGAAACATTGCTTCACACGATCCAGACCCTGATTGCGGCAGTGAGGTTTGTAAACAGTCCAGGCATTGAAACCATCCCCCGAAATTCTTGCATGTTCTTCGTGAATAATTTTGATACACCGCACGTCATCGGAAATGTCGGAGTCAAGGAGACGATCACAAGGAATATTACATGCCTTACCACCATACTGATCGTGGGAGCACCAATAGAGGTCGCTTATCTGGAAGAGACCATGATCTGCAGAACCATCAGTATTTAAGCGACCATCGGCGGCGGTATTAAAACTAGACTCATGTTGAGCAATGCAAACCCAGGTTGGAATTTGATCCATGGGCATTTTATGTTTGTGGTACAATTCCTGTGCCAGCTCACATTTGTTGTAGATTTTTCCCTTCTTTGTTGAACCCGAACTGTGGGGTATAAGAGCATTACTAGTACTGGTTGATGTTACTGACTTCGTTACACTCTCCTTCAGTTCTTTTTCAGAAAAACATTGCTTCACACGATCCAGACCCTGATTGCGGCAGTGAGGTTTGTAAACAGTCCAGGCATTGAAACCGTCTCCGGAGATTCTTGTATGCTCCTCATGAATAATTTTTATACACCTCACGTCATCGGAAATATCAGAGTCCAGCAGGCGATCGCAGGGAATATTACATGCCTTCCCACCATACTGATCGTGGGAGCACCAATAGAGGTCGCTTATCTGGAAGAGACCATGATCTGCAGAACCATCAGTATTTAGGCGACCAACAGCGGCGGTATTAAAACTAGACTCATGTTGAGCAATGCAAACCCAGGTTGGAATTTGATCCATGGGCATTTTATGTTTGTGGTACAATTCCTGTGCCAGCTCACATTTGTTGTAGATTTTTCCCTTCTTTGTTGAACCCGAACTGTGGGGTATAAGAGCATTACTAGTACTGGTTGATGCTACTGACTTCGTTACACTCTCCTTAAGTTCTTTTTCGGAAAAGCATTGCTTTACACGATCTAAACCCTGATTGCGACAGTGTGGTTTGTATACTGTCCAAGCATTAAAACCATCCCCGGAGATTCTTGTATGCTCCTCATGAATAATTTTTATGCACCTCACGTCATCGGAAATATCAGAGTCTAGCAGGCGATCACAAGGAATATTACATGCCTTACCACCATATTTATCATGAGAACACCAATAGAGATCACTGATTTGGAAGAGGCCATGATCTGCCGAGCCATCTGTATTTAGGCGCCCAACTGCAGCAGTGTTGAAACTCGACTCGTGTTGAGCAATGCAAACCCAGGTTGGAATCTGTTCCATGGGCATATGATGTTTGTGGTATAATTCCTGAGCCAATTCACATTTGTTGTAGAGTTTTCCTTTCTTCGTCGAACCTGAACTCTGGGGTGTCAGAGCATTACTACTGGCACCGAAAGAGGATCCAGATTTTGTGTGACTCTCCTTAAGTTCTTTTTCGGAGAAACATTGCTTCACACGATCCAAGCCCTGATTGCGACAGTGTGGTTTGTATACTGTCCAAGCATTAAAACCATCCCCGGAGATTCTTGTATGCTCCTCATGAATAATTTTTATGCACCTCACGTCATCGGAAATATCAGAGTCTAGCAGGCGATCACAAGGAATATTACATGCCTTACCACCATATTTATCATGAGAACACCAATAGAGATCACTGATTTGGAAGAGACCATGATCAGCGGAGCCATCTGTATTAAGGCGCCCAACTGCTGCAGTATTTAAACTTGATTCATGTTGAGCAATGCAAACCCATGTAGGTATCTGGTCCATGGGCATCTGATGTTTGTGATACAACTCCTGGGCCAACTCACATTTGTTATAGATTTTACCTTTATTAACGCTTACAGCCTGCGAGCCCGATGCCGAAGGCACGGCAAGCGTGTTAGCCCTATCCAAAACTTTCGAATCAAAACATTGACGAATGTGCTCAATATTTTGATTTTGACAGCGTGTCGAGTAAACAACCCAAGCATTAAAGCCATCTCCTGAAATCCGTGTGTGTTCGTCATAAATTGTCCTCACACAAGCAACATCATCCGTCAAATCATCATCCATTAGCTTTTGGCAGGCCATCTTACAGGCCTTCTCCTGTGGCGCCACATCCGAGCACCAGTAACGATCACTGATCTGAAATAGACCATAATTGACACTACCATCACCGTTGTTACGTCCCACCGCCCTGGTGTCAAGGGAAGATTGATGTTCGGCGATGCACACCCAAGTAGCGATATCCTGCAGTGGAAAACGATGTTTAGAATAAAGTTCTTGGGCTAGGGAGCAACGTGTATAGACTTTACCCTGTTGTTTGCCGCGCCCGCTATTCACGTTGCGTTGAATGTCATTGTAGCGGGTCAACGTCGCCGTCGACTGGCTTTGTGGTTTCTGTGCATGATATTGCTTGCCAGAACCAGAGCCTTCATAATGGTAGCCCCCAGCTTGGGGTTTAATTTTATTAAGAAATGGATTATGCTGATAATTTGGACCAATGGAGTACTGGGTGCTCGGCGCTGATGCCGAGGCCTTTTGTCCATGGACACTTAACAAGAATGGATTTGAATGATATTTCTTTGAAACTTTTGCAGAATCCTGCACGGAGTTTGGTCCCGTTTGAGGATAGCTTTTGGGTGGTTGATTGGCAAAACAAGCGGCCACTTGTTTGTAGTCTTGGCTGCGGCAGAACGGCTGATATGTTGTCCAGGCATTGAAACCATCACCCGATAGGCGGGTGTGTTCCTCATAAATCGATTTTATGCAGCGTACATCGTTGGAGATGTCATTGTCCAGAAGTTCATTGCACATTAGGCCACAGGCTTTTTCGCCGCGATAACTATGGCTGCACCAATAGAGATCACTGATCTGAAAAAGTCCATGATCGGCCGAACCGTCACTGTTTAAACGACCCACGGCGGCGGTATTGAAGAGCGATTCACGTTGTGCAATGCACACCCACGTTGCTATTTGTTCAAGCGGAACGCGATGCACATGGTGCAGTTCACGCGCCAACTCGCAGCGATCGTAGATTTTAGCCCATACCGGGCTCGCGCCAAAGCTAACAACGCACAATAAAACAAATAACCGAGCCGAGCATTGTCTCGTATGACGCTGTATTAACATAATTCGCTAAAATGCTCGTTAGTGTTTTGTTTTTTATTCCGTGTCTCAACACAGCGGAAGGGCAATATAAAATTATTAATTGTTATCACTTTGATATGGCCAAACGTTCGGAATTTCAATTTTTTGTTTTTTCATTCACTATTTTTTTTTATTAAAACAAAAGATGTTAATTTATGCGTATTGTTATTCTTGTACCGAAAATCACACACGCGTTAGGTTTTTCGAATTTCTTTAGGTGCTTTTAACCCGTCCAGAAGATGTGTTTCGCTTCGCGTCTGCTCATTAACTGATTCTGTTCGCTTTGTGCTGGCTTATTTTTTCTCTTTGCTGCGTTTCATTTCCGTTTTATACACACACTCACACACATGCTTAACACTTTCATACGGCTCAAACATTGTTGGTCAAGCCAGGCCAGATCAGATCACACCAGACCAGAAGTGTTGAAGATTCACTCTTAACATAGTCAACACCAGACACCAATCAAACTTGCTTATACGCATTGTGGGCACAGTGTTTAGAATGGCCTTGAACATGTCTCATGAGAAGATACGCAGAAAACTACTTGAATAGACTAATAAAGGTGTGGATTAAAAAGTTTACCGGTACAGGCCACCGTGATTTATCATTGGGACAGTAAAGTCACTTAGGGCTAGTAAAGTCACTAGACTTCGGAAAAAATTTATTATTTATTCAGATAATTAAGTAGAGTCACTGCCTGGTTTTCAACAGATCAATAATAAAAAATCTACACCTTTATGTGGGTAAATTTGAAAATGTAAAAAAGAGGGGAGAGAAATATTAAAAAGTGGCAAAATTGAGTTTTTTTTTTTTTGTAATTGCACATACAGGGTAAGATAAAAAAACTGCAACCAACTTCAGACTGCTGTCATTTCCAAGCCACTTGTCCGACAGCTGTTAAAATTATTCCAGTGACAGCTCATTATATTGTTTACAAGCGTACAAAAGCATTTTGGAGAGAATTTTCCAGAAAAAAAGTTATTCGTGATGGAATTCAAGCGTGATAGTGTGATTTCTTTATATTTGGCTAGAACACCACAAGTGGCTATCGTTAGAGCACTCCAGCATTGAAATGTGAATAAATCTTTGGTGTTTCGTACCATCGTTCGTTACCGTGATAATGGTAGCGTAGCCCGACGTCAAGGAAGTGGACGGAAGAAAACGGCAACATCCGCAGAAATGGTTCGAAAAGTAATTAAGCGATTTGATCAAAATCCGCGTCGCAGGAGCTCGTGGGCTGAACATATCATTCGGCAAATATTGGAAAATGAGCTCGGGGTAAAGCCTTTGAAATTCCAAAAGTGCAAGATCTTACACCGCAACAGAAAGAAAAAGCCAAAGAGTTGCTTCGCTTGGCCGAAAGTGGTGAACTGTCGAATTTGGTTTTCTCCTATGAGAAAACATTTGTTGTCCAGTAGTTTGTAAACAAACAAAATGATCGTGTTTACTTGCCAAAGAGGTCAGCTGAAAATGTTCACCTTCGGTTGGCCACCAGAACTCAGGCGCCGGCCATGGTGATGGTGTGGGCTGCCATAACAGCCGATGGTCGCTCTCGGCTCATATTAATCGACCGTGGCATTAGAATAAATGCCGAATATTATGGCGAAAATATTCTGGAGGGTGGACCGTGGACATTACAACAGGACTCAGCACCATCGCACCTAGCACGCCCCACCGAAGAATAATTACAAAATGAGGTTCCTCGCTTCATTTCCAGCACAGAATCGCCACCAAAATCTCCGGATACCAGTCCGTTGGACTATTGTGTCTGGATTATTTTTGAAAGCAAGGTTGGCACTAAGAACTACCAAAGTGTCGATCACCTCAAGCAAGCGCTTCGCCGGGAATGGGTCAAAATACCGCAGAGCAACATTTGATGCTATTATCGACATTTTTGCTTTCATTCAATAAAATTAAAAAAAATATGTATAAATTGAATTTGTTGCAGTTTTTTTCATTTCACCCTGTATATAGACAATTCCTTTCCATGGAGTACAGTACTCACAAGGAACTCCTTGTGTGGATTTTAAAAAAATTTTATTGAAAATTTTGGCTACAATTATCCAAATACCGAATATAGGGAGGTCCCTGGATCTATATAGACAACTCCTTTCAACGGAGTAAAATAAAAATGTGGTTACCATTATCAAAATACTGAAGATCGGGAGGTACTGTTATATGGGGGATCCACGATGTCGTGGACCTATTTAGACAATTCTCTTCCAGGGGGTGAAGTACTCAGAAGGAACTCCTAGTGTGAACTCCTAGTGTGAGACAATTCCATTAAAAAAATTTTCAGAAATCATCAAAATACCGAATATCGGGGGTACCGTTATATGGGGGCTATACGATATCGTGGACCTATATAGACAATTCTTTTCTAGGGATAAAGTACTCACAAGGAACTTCTTGTGTAGAATTTCAGACAATTCCATTGAAAATGTGGTTAAATTATCAAAATACCGAATATCGGGGGGTACCATTATATGGGGGACCAATATAGACAATTCTCTTCCAGGGGCAAACTTCTCTAAAGAAACTCCTTGTGAAGATTCTCGGAAAATTCTATTGAAAAAATTACCTACAATTATCAAAATACCCTCTATACCATGTATGGTGGGGTGGTTGACGTGTTGTCGGACCGAATGGTCGGATGAAAGTCTGAAATGTTAGCCGACTTTCGAACGACTTTCGGAACGAATTCGCATATATATTCATGGAAATTCGGAAGGGAAATTAGAGCGGTCGGAACGATCTCCGGACGAAAGGTCTTATGAAGTTCTGATGTATCAACAAAAACTGCCATAATGTAATGACAAAAACAAGTAGCAATAACACTTGACTAATTTTCAGTAATGACAACTGTGTATATATACAAACACATGGGATAATGTTAATTTAATACAAATACAAACAATTCCAGAAAAGTGTATAAAATATGGTATCAATAAAAAGCAAATATTCATTTTATATAAAAAAATAAAATAACTATTTTTCCTCGTCAAATATATAAGAACACTTATTGGCGAACGCATTTTTCCTCGACAACATTTACGTACTAAGTTATCCACACTAAAAAGGCATTTCTATCCCATTGACGATGTATTCAAGGGCGTACTTTTTGTCTTTAATAGGGTTTATTTCATTTGAAGCACGGTAAACAATGGATTTTCCTTGTTTTAACTAATTTATATAAAATATCAAGTTGATTTCGAAATCTTTAACCTTTAAAAAAAAAAAACTATGCTTTTCATTTGCAGTTGGGTTCCCTTACGTTTTATGGGTATTTAAACACTGTGCGACGGCAATCAATACCTGTTCGTTTGGTTTTCGACGTCTTACAGTAGCCGGCAGTCGTTACGTGAAGGATAGTTTTGAAATGTGTCTATGTTTTGTTTTCAACATTGACTTAATCAATTGGACAACAAACGCCCTGTTAAATAAACACAAACAAATGTTATCTCTTCGCATGCATTTTAGCTGGACAGAGGGCATTATACTCTTTACTATCAGTTCAGTCTAAGAGATTAAAGAGTGGGAGAGGAAAATATATAGCTGGGAGCGAACTTGGCGGAACATTAATCGTCTGTAAATTCAGTGATGTTCTTAACTCCCGCTCACAATCTCTCTCTCTCTTTCTTTCTCCAGGTTTGTTGTTTTTTACTGTCATCATTTCATTACCAAACATTTATTTTGCATTGATACGAAGCGAATTGACGGTCTATCGTCACATTCCAATGGGTGACAGAGTGAGTGAATGAATGCATGCATGGATGGATGGTCAACACCATCAGGTTTCCAAACGAAGATTAATGGCACAAGCTTAGCTCGGAGTCAATGTTAAAATAATGCAGTTTGTTTATTTGTTTTGTAGTAGTGACTAGGCTAGTGACAGTTATTTGTATTTGTGTTGAAAAATAATATTGTATGTTTGTTTGTGTTTTGCAATATCTCGTTGATTTTTTATTGGTTAAAGATTGATCTTTGTGCTGAAATGCCTTTAAAACCCTGAACATCTGTTGGAAAGAGAAGATATGGGGAAAATAAAAATTAAGTCCATACTGAAATGAAGAAATGCCCAGAAGAACCTTGTTACGCGATGACTCTTTAGACCAACTGTAGAACTAATGTCGAAATCTAATAGAGCCGATGCATTGGTAAACCCCATTAAGAACACAAACCTTTAAATTATAATTATTTTTGACGGAAATAAGGCATTAAACACCCAAAGCAATTTCAGAACGAATAAATTATATGTCCTTCACAGAGAGGAGTAGAAAGATTATTCTCTTCTTGTAGTGCTTCTATGCAATTCTATCAAAAACACATTTTTTTTCGAAAGCTCCCTTTATCTCGTTTAGTTCGTTTACTACAGGACCACTGGTTAGGATTAATCAGCTTTGGTGTGTAACATCAACAAGGAAGAGGTATTAGATTTTATAAAAGAGTTACACAGCTAGATGGCTTCAGAGTAACACTTTGGATTATGGAAGAAAATTTTCCGATATGTATCAACACATAAATATAAGGAGGTGCAAACCTTTGACCCGTTTTAGCAATGAGTGGTCCGATCTATTCTTTATATATATATTTCAGGTTAATTGTTCACAAAATGGCCAATATCAGTCCTAATGACCTGAATTTTGGTACATCCGATCGATTTCTAGAAGCAATAACATCAATTTTGGTGAAAATCGGTTTAGATATAGCTATAGCTGCCATATATATGTTTCATCCGATTTGGGGTGTTAAGTACCTCACATGAGTAATATGCACTTCACAATCGGATCAGATTTGGATATAGCTCCCATATATATCTTTATCCGATATCAATTTTATTGTGCACCGAATGGCTAATATCAGCCCAAATGAACTGAATCTTGGCAATTCCAACAGAATTAATACTAGAAACAATAACTTTAAATTTACATATATAGCTATAGCTCCCATATATATGTTTCATCCGATTTTGTGTAAAAGTTCCTCTCATGCGTAATAAGCACTCCACAACAAGGATATTTGATACCGGACATTAGATACAGCTCGAGTATGCCTCTGCCAAATTTCATTGAGATCGGTTCAGAATGATTATACCCTCCACCATAGTTGGAGGGTATATTAAGTTTGTTATTCCGTTTGTACACCTCGAAACATACATTTTAGACCCACAAAGTATATCTAGAATATATATACTTTTTGGGTCTAAAATGTATAAAATAAAATTCTATGTCGATTTAGCGATGTCCGTCCGTCTATCCGTCTGTGGAAATCACTCTAGCTT